GCAATTCTTACAAAGTCCCTGTAAAATCAGTACCAAGACACGAGTCGCGCCTCTTCGTTACGTTATATTCGCATAATCGTTACGCCTAAACGACTTTGAACATTATGCTTTTTTTTTTTATCAATTTTCCATTCACTCGTTATATCACATTGTGGTAAATCGACTCGATAGATTAAAATTTTGAGAAATTTTTTTCAAAATTCATCGACCTATCTAGTATGTCACTACACTGAACAATAGTTAGATATACCAAAACTTGTGAGGTAATTTTAGAAATTTCGTAATTTCGAAAGTAAAACGCTCCTTGGCAATCCCAAAATAGTATCAAAGTTATTCTCGTGCAACCACATACGTTAAATAGGTATACAATTTCACGTGACACCTTACACCACTCACCGAAATTCCCTTTTAGTACATACAGCATATTCTCATTTAACCCAAGTTACCGAATGGGCCATTCTGATTACCAAAAACAGTATGTCCACAATTCAAAAATACATTGTTTAATACCCACAATGCAATACCCCGTACATCCACCATGTAAACTCCGCCAAAATTCTCAATCAAAAAAGTCCACTAAAACCGAACCGTCCACTATACGATTAACTCATTTGCATCCTAGACAAACCCAACGTGATACTGCGTATCTACGAGGTTGCGCGAAGCGCGGTTTACCTTGATCGCGTCCCAGTCTTTAATTACGTAAGGTCACGTACGATCATCGTCATAGCACGGTGTAAACGGCCGCAAAGGTTGTGCGCATGGTGGTCACAGGAATATCCTAGCTACGTCAGCTTCATAAACAATGTCGGTGTACCGGCAGGTTGGTAAGTTACGATCCAAAGGGGTAATGCCGGTTGGCGTGGATGCGGGAAGAGCAAAGATGGTACCGGTACGAGATAAAGTGAAGGAAGATGCTGGGCGTATCGTGCGCGACCTTTATAATACGACTGCGGAGTCTTCCCACAGTGAAATTGATACGGCGAAAAGTTTTATTAAAAAAAATTGAAAAAAAAAAAACAAAGCCTCATACAGCCAACCAATTAGAAGTCTAGGTGAATCCCATGATTAAATTTCAATTTTCCTCTAGATCCCCTGATACCCTCTGTTAACCAGAATCAATTCCACGTTTACCCAGGTTAATCAAATGCATATCGCAAGTAAAGGACGCAAGTAAAGCGGGTGTCCCTTTCGAAATATCAAAGGTACCATCGGATCTAATCGATCTTTCGGACATTCGGTACGCAGCCTCTGTATAACGCTTACGACACACGTTAAACGAGACCGACGGTAATTTCAGATACGACACCTCGATAAAGACCGGTCGTAAATTCGTGCGTACGCCCAGATTCTCTATATGCCAACGCGATACGGTATATATACCTGCAGGTATACCTAAAGGTCCTGAGCGGTAAGTAAGGTACCTAGTCGCCTTACCTATATCCGTGCCTCAAGGCCCCAACTGGAACGCGGATCCGTTCGTTCTGATGGCCGATCGCCAATTTCTGATCTAGTTTCAATTCAAGTCGATAAATGCATCGTCGAGTAAGTTACGGATCTCGACTACACATATACATAACACAGAAAACATGTATCCCGACGTATTCGAGTCTACGTAAAATATGCATATGACGCGCGAACGCCCAACGCCCAGAGGCTGTTGTCGTAATGCGTTGGCAATAACGTGACACCCGTTATAACTCCATGATAATACCCTCTTGGCGATCTCTTTAATATATTTGATAGCGCGAAAGCTAGTAGCAAAGAGACCAGCTTCCTGTATCTGCACCGCATTCGAGTATCTGTGGTAACGAACCGAGCGACATCTACATGACGACGAGGACGCTTATGAGAACGAGAGGGGAGGAGCATACGTGGGGTGTAACTACGATCTACATGGTTCGTGTGTATTTCGATATATTGGACAGCCCGTTGGAACGTGCGCGAAAGAGAATGGACCGATAAAGATTGGCGAGCGCGTTAAGAACGTTATAAATGCCGATCCTGGCGCGGGGTTTATCGATGAAATCTCGAGCGCGTGGTTATCGTTATCGAACTATCAATTCCCGATCGTGAGGTTACCCGCCGATACCACAGCAGAGGGATGGGTCAGAGTTGAGCAAACGATCGTAAATCGAAGTGATAAATCGTGCTTCGAATGTCGTTGGTTATATCGTAACATATAACATGGGCTGCATGTATACGTATAGATACGTGTGCATGTTCAGAGGAAATTTTGTACATGAAAAAAAAAGTACAAGAGGTATAAAAATGAAGGGAAGAAAAAATATATGTGAAAATTTTAATTGGTAACGGGAACTACCGATACCACGTATCTCGATAGTCACTGCGTATGCCTCTACGCGTCGCTCATGAACTGCTAATTAAACGTGAACGATTGGCGAAGGGATACTTCATTATATAGATTAATATGCAAATGCGGTGACCTTCACTTTTACGTTACTTCTCGCCACGAGAAGGTTGACGTAATTTAACCGAGAATTTAGATAAAACTAGATAACGTCATTAGGTCATGCATTGTTCCAGATTGATATTACCTCATATCGCCAACCTGTCGAAATGGCATCACCGTGCTCCGAGCCGGTCGGTCGTATGTATATGCTTTATTGGCGGTAGTTGAAAAGTAGAGGCGACAACAGATGAATCGCGGGATAAATTGAAAATAGGCAAGTTGCAATTTGTCGAATTTCCCTCGAAAGCGATGAAAAAGGGGAAAAACGATAAGTGGCTCGTCCTCGAGTCAGCGGCAGAGCTAACGTCGGAATTCTCGTTTGCGCCAGGCAGCCGTTTGATTCGAACTCTTGAAAAAGACGTGGTAGGTAACTCATTCAGTGGCGCGGGTAGGCGAGATTGCTGTGACGACACGCTTAACGACATTACGCGTTTTTCTCCCATTACGATGAAATGTGGAGTAATATAGGGTAACACGCGGTGAGAGTGAATTCGAGACGGAACCTCCATTTCTGTACGGACGATTTAGAGAGAGAGAGACGTTAATTTTATTAGATCCGCATACTGCACGGTCACAGGCGTTATTAGCCGTACCCATACACAGATGAAATAACTCATAAACATTTTACTCATTAAATCAAATTGCCGGCCTATTCGTAGAAACCTGCCCATGCCTTCGGTACAAGATTGGCGTTATCGTTAATTCACCGTGTATAGAAAATATCTCGAAATTCTGTAAGCGTTTTTCAAAATTCCGATTGCTCGTCCTTATCGTCACTCGATACGTGTAAATATGCCGCTTGCTTTACGACTTCGCAGAATGCAGTCAATTTGATGAATTGCAATTATTTCATTAACCCATGCTTCGTAATTGGCAGAGAATTTTGCAATTTTTCATAGAATTTCGCAGAACGGGAATACCATGGCAACCGAGTATATCAGCGAGAGTACTTTGTTGTATGGAAAAGCGTTAGTTAAGCTAGCATACTATGCGTATCCACTAGACCCCAGTGGGTTGAGCTAAAAGAGGACAGGCGAAGGTGGGACCTACAAGGTAGAGGTGCGAAGGCACAGGATGGCAGTGGCGACAGGTAGACACGTCCAGCCTATAAGTTGGGCCTGGGAAGGTAGGTCTAGCGCCTCCGTATACCTCATGTAACTAACATTAGATGCATAATGCATGTTAGGTGGCCCCGCTAGGTGTCGCTACAACAGGGCTACAACGTTACAGGGCTGCAGCAGCAGTCCTTAGATCGGTCGGAGCAAAAGGGGAGTCCTCGCCACCCTAGACTTAGGCCAACGCACGACACTACAGCCCGTAGCGGTATGTCGTGAGATCTCTCCGATACACCATTGTAAACCATTGTAATGGTAATACCGAGCCAGTCCTGATATATCACGCCGCGCGCAGGACTTCTGCCGTAAGCGTATCTCTCATTGTGAGGAAACGTGCGCATGCGCACGGACGCGTATTCCCGTGCGGCTCAGACTAATGGGGATTAATATCGAATGGAGGCATTGGAGCCATACGAGAGGCACGCCCGTACGAATTATGACCCTCATTTTTCACGTCCTCTTTACACGATTCCTCTGGCCTCGCGAGGATGCCGTAAAAAAAGATCACGGAGTGTGGAACTTGAGAAAAAAAAATGTATGCGTCCCGAAGCTATCGAACTTGAAACATTATACACGAGACTCTCGATTACTTGTAAAGTATAATTCGAGGCGGATGAATTAGAAGCTTTACGGCATTGAGATCCTATTAAATTTTGCTCTCGTTAAGCCAACCTGGTCTTATGGGAGTACAGACAGTCTGGATGACTTCCGGATGGATTAAGTTTGCTAATTCAGCGTTTAAGGGAAAATATTATTCAAGACGATACACGAGTTATCGTCGTCCATATGCACAGGTACTTTGTGTACTTTGGTATATATTCAACTATTTTCAACTATTTTCTTGATAATCCTATTTGTTTACTAAACTTTGCAATCTGCCGATCGCGTCGAGCCACACGCAAGTTCCTGCTACACGCAAGTTCCTTTCCACGAGTATAGACAGGGAACAGCACGGGACCCATTGTAGCGTCGGGACTTTTACAAAGTGGACGCATAACAAATGCTCGGCACGCATACATTAGCCGCATTAATACCTGTTTGGATTTATTAATGCCCATATTATATTCATGCGTATAAGTTACAACGGGATGCGCCGCGCATGCGCCCCGATGATGTATTCAGCGTCGCGCGCACTCTATTGTTCGTTGCAACGCGTTGCAGTTCTGTTCCACCGTTCCTCCCGTCCAACTTGTAAGCTCCTTTCGTTTGTCCTTACAACAGTAATAAGTCTTCCCGACTACCGTCAGTTTAACGTGCCTGAATGCTGCGCGTCATGAATTTCAACGAATCGACATACACACATTTTCAATATAGCCCGGGAAATTCAAAATCAGCCATATTAAAAACGTCCGCGATACATCGCATAGAAAAGTTGTAATATTTATAAACAAAATTACATCGCTCACACTCACCAGATCCTTTCTCGCGGACACAAAAAACCGTACGACGTTAAACATCGGGGCACTCACCTGAAAAAGGAAAATACAAAAAAAAATCAGTACGAGTCCCAAAAAATATATCCAAAGATTCATCGACAAAGTCAACACAATCATCGACGCTAAATACCCATAAGCGTCGCATCGAGGATGCATCTACTGTGCCAGCCTATCTCTATTTTCCCGGACGCGGACACCTCGTTAGCTCGAGTCGGTAGGTCCGTCCGACAAAGGTGTCGTAGAACGCAGTCCAGGAGTCCGGTAGACCTCAAGAAATAGGAACTGGTACCAACCGAGGAAACATCTCTTTGGCACGTAACAAACGCCGTACCACGTCGGGTTTTACGTTGGCACACGTTGTTACACACGTAGCATACGCCATCAGGTATATTCCCATATATAAATATATAAATCCCCCATGCGTCGTGCGAGAAGCATCAAGGACTAGGTGGCGAGCATTGAATGCCCATCCCGTACCTTATTCTCCGAGAGGGAATCGAAAGATGCATGGAGTTGAAGCGCGCAACGGACATCCTCGACATGACAGCTCCGCTAGCCATGTCGATACTCGTTAACTATAACACTATGCCTTCAGCATTGGAAAGCATGCGTTACCACGCGATACCATTCGATACGATACCCATATCGAGTTGGCCTTTAGTAGCATTGGGCCCTGTACCCATTATTCGATTCTACCTTATACCCATGGATCCCTCCAGCCAGTGCACGCGCCTGCTTCTACGTTTGGCCATATGAGCCAACCCAACCAACCGACCTTCCCATTCGCCTATACCGTATAAAACGTCATCTTCCCCAACGACCGGACACTCCGCACTTTAAAAGCTCCGGGTAGCATTGGGGAATGCCACGATTGTGTTAATCACTCCCGATGCCCCGATAAGAACAGGTTTTCATCGATGGGGACTTCGAAGTGATTTAAAAGCGACTGTTACGACCGGACACGAATTGAGGATAAAACGTCGCTTAATCAAAGACATCGAGATAAGAGCGTGCCGATAAACTGGGTGAAGTTACAGCATCGACTGGTCGTGTACTAACGACATCTAAAACGAGAGAAAAGTACAAAAAGTCAGGCATTAATGACGCGACGGCATAAATCCCAAGGTGGCAAAAAACGATTGTCCGCACGGCGTATAACTCCACGTTGACAATGACTGTACGTGTATATATATTTATATACACCTTATACCGAGGACCCAAGGAAACCGTAAATTCTCAGTGAACACGACAACGTGTCATTATATGTAAACTACCAAGTTTCGATCCGAGTCAAAAGGAACTCGACCGAGCCGTGCTTTCGTCAACGGTGTCAGGGTCATACGAGATTTACATGAGAATATCGTAAGAAAGTCGGGCTTAACGCCGAACCTGATTTTCGATCCAGGAATGACGTATCTTTATCGCTGTTTCGATATAAAGACGAAAGGTGGTAAAATCTTTAAAGCGCGCGATGAGCCCTCGTGACGCCATTACCGGCGTTATCGGTAATTGCGCGCGCACGCAGGTTAAATGGGAAATTAGTAAAAAAAAACCTTCGTGTCTAGGCTGATATATAGATGGCGGTAAGATGGTGACTGCTACCATTAGAGGTGAAATATTAAACATCAGCCATGTAATTACCGAGGTGGGAGTGAGGTTGCCGCGATTAGATCTAAACTGGCCGCTAATGCTGTTAATTGCGATGGATTGTGTAATTGTTAGTACGGGCTGTACGGGCATTGGACGCGCCACTGCATATGTGCACGCATCGGCGATAAACTGTTGTACGTATATATAGATTAGGTACAGGGCAGGGCTATCGAATGGTGGACACCAGTGAACAAGGAGTATAGTGAATATACTGAACAGCGAATGCCATGACAGAGTGTATTGCCGGGTGAGTTAACTTTACTGGTAGCAGCGAGTAACAGGTCGCTACATGGGAGTAACAGCATAACCATTGCGCCAAGATAATTAAAGCTTTAATAGGTATATGGTGAGGATTATTTCTGTGATATTATATATATATATATATATATATATATTCTTCTTTTTTCTTAATGGCCATTTCAATTCTACGAGCAATCCGCTCGCGTCCATTCACGCTCGTTACAAACCGAAGAAAAACGTCTTTACCTCTGTTCGCAAGAAACGACTAAATAATCCACGCTCGTACCGATTGCTCTTGGTACGACTGCTGGTATTCGTGGAGTAATGGACTCTCGCCTTGGTAAATCAGCCATTTGCACACCCACAGTGTCTTAATATACAATGGCCTAGTGTCCCCCATTATGATGTTCATGTACAGCTGTACTTTGGTAGCGAATAAAATTCTAGTAACTCGTGCACGTGAGCGGGCTTGCTATATATAAATCTATCAAAGAAATCATACAGCATCGTTCCAATTCCCAATCCAGACCAACGATTTGGACGTTGCAAATGGTTTCGGACGATTAAATAAAATAAACACGCGGCCAATCGGAAACCCGAACGACCTGTTTCTTTGTAGCGTCTCTGGGCCAACGATCGGAGAAGTAACGTTACGTTGCCACGCGCAAGCAGGATGTCCATAATAAATTGACGGTGGCCTAACGAACCGGGTATGATCCGTTCCTTTAATAAATTTGGCAATGATTTACGAAAGGATTGAAATTGGGATAAATGCAGAATCGAATGGATCCTTCTTATTCGGATGATTGTATTAAGAGTTTCTGGTGGATGCCAAATTGGACGCAACGAAGGGGACGGGTTAAAAAAATTATTAAGAAACTTCATCTCGAGAGATCGGTACTTCCCAACGGCACGTGAACCGCGTGCACTCTGGAGCCAAAGTCCTCGCATCCTCCTTCACGTCCTCTGGATGACGCTCTTTGGTATCCCATTCGTATCAGCGGATTCCTCAGCAATTTGTAACGCCATCTTGGGGCCCGGTAGTCGCGCGCGCGCGAGTAAGCGAATTCCCTGCTAAGGACGAACCCGAAGGGAACGGCGTATGGCAGCGGCACTTGGGAAATAAATGATCCCATTACGCCATAAATCAATCAGGAGAAAAAGCACCGAAGCTCCTGAAACGAATGACGCGTTTCGCGGGAGAGCGAATGACGCAAGTATACACGACGTTGTGGCACAAGAGAAAAGGAAGGTGTCGCAGAGACGGCGAACAGGTAGGTATGCACGTATACGATATCGTATGAAACTTAGGGCTTAAGAGCGCCAACCCTAAAGCCGCCCCCGCAAGAAATAGTAAGAGAATATCATCGCGCGTACATGTTTCTTACGAGTATCAGGCGGCATGTTTAGGCGCTTGGAACGCGACGGACCTTCAATGTAGATGAAAAAAGTCCAAGGTGCAATTTGCGCGGACACGTGGTGCCCGGTTTTCTTGGACGAGCAGGCGGGGGAGAGAGAACCGTGTGCGAGAGAGTCAAGAGAGCAGGGTGACGAGAGCGTGAAGGAGATAACGAAAGAATCTTAAGCGAGTCTCCGCGGTGTATAAGGCGGCGTGCGCGGCAAAGACAGCTTTCATTAGAGGTAATGCCTAGCTAATTCGATAAAACTTAAAAATTCCGATGTCACGTAAAGAAGAAATACAAGCCGGCCATTTAAGGTATCGTGAAAGGAATAAGGTTCGCGGATTCCGATAGAACCAAGATAGGCAGGCAGGCAGGCAGGCACGTCTTGAGGCTCTCTTGAAAACCCGGGCATACCGGGGCCTCTCGGAAACTCGCCGCGAGCACTTAAAAATTCGATTGAATTCGAACGCTCTCGCTGCTCTCGGGCTGCACTTCGGCGCGCAGTGAAGTGCGCGCCGCGCCGGTGCACTGTGCAATTTCACCTGCCGCTAGACTTTTCCCCGCTTATTCGCCACCGAGACTCGACCATACGTTCTTGCTCCGCGCAGCGGTTCGTCTCGGAGTCCTTTTTCCTTACATTCTCAAAGAACGTATACACAATATATAATATGCATAACGTATGCAACCAAATAAAACTCGCCACTATCAAACTCTTTTGTCATTCTCGTGGTTCGCCGAATAGTCAGCCTCCTTCCTATGGACGATGCCAACTTGTTCTACCGTCGTCTAGGAAGAACAAGATAAATCTTCTGTCTCGCGTAGGCGTTACTCTCCCTTCCGTGGTACACGAGGATGCACAGGACACGACTAAATTACGACAGGACGATTCGCATCGTACCTAGTAGCTATACCGTACAGATAAGAAACTGCTCGTAAACTGTAGCTCGTCGATAGATATACTTTGGCTTAGGTTCAAAACATATTTTCTTTTTTTGTAAACTATGAATAGGGCACTCGGAGCTCCTCGGAGCAGGTATAATCCTATATACTGTACAGTACAGTCTATTACCTCCTAATTATACAGAACTGACCTTCTGACCTATGACTCCTTCGATATTTACTTAGCCGATCGCATAATGGCTTAGTTTTTACATTCTTTTGCTATACCGTCTTCCCAGTACGTGCCTTTAATATTTAAGGCAAGGAAACCTCTCACGATCCACAGGGTCTATCTTACATTTCTGAAAATCCTCATCTCGGTCCATGATCAGCGGACTCCACGAATGTTCGGGGACTCCGCCCGCTTGTACGCCGTTATCTTCGGATCGTTCGAGCGTTAATGAACCAAGTTGCGGGAGCACCTCAACCCCGCAACAACCAGCTACATCCTGTACAACTCTCACTTGCTCGACATTCCGTACAAATGTCCGGTCGATCAGATTATTCCCGGATCGTTTTCTTTTTTTACCCCCTCCTTACTCGATGCTCTTCTTTATTTTCGAATCCATTGCTCGATTTCTTTAAACACGATTCCGCGCAAAGCTAGACCTACCGAAATCTTAGTACCGATTATGAAAATTCGTACACCCGTTATACTCGAGTAATTATTCTTCGATCGAAGGATACCCAAACATCTTTTCGACTCCATATAACGTTACCATACAGCTTTGACGTAATAACGATAATTACGTAGTGTTATTCGAGACAAAAATAATACACGAAACAGAATTTTCTTTCAAG